GCTGCACTCCAGGCACCGTCCTAGTACTCACTGATGGCTGTCGTGGGCCCGTTCTGCTTTTTCTGAGCCTTTTTCAGGGCAAAAAAGTAATTTAAAGGTGATTCCCAGAATTACAACATCTGGAGAGCTTTCTGGTTACGAAAGTGGGGCGCAGTTGGGAAGGAAGCCGGCTCCTTGAGGCGCGCTCCCCGTCTGTGCTCCTCGAACACGTTGGCGGGGGCCCCGGGCCCGCAGGCGCCTGCTCCCCACTAAGAAGCTCATTTGCTTCCTGTTATCAAGCATCAGGCCTGAGAGCCCAGTGTTTGCTTTCGGGGGGCCGTGGGGGCCTGGGCACACAGCGCGGCCACTCACTTCTGAGAACTCACTTGAGCTCCCGGCCCGGGGCCGGGCGGCCCCTCGGCGGCCTCCCCGGCCCAGGGGCGCACGCCCGTCCTGTCCCGAGTTGGGGCACCCCTTCCTGGAGGCGCGGGAGGGAAGGAAGGGCTTCAACAGCGAGCGCCCTGGGGCCTCCTGCGTCGCCCCGAGGCAGACAGCGGGGCAGCAGCGGCGCCCGAGGCCGGCCAGGACCGGTGCGAGGCCAGAGGCGGCCGGCGGCTGAGCCGGAAGAGATGTGGGTGGACGAAGGGCCCCGTGGGCAGCGCAATGTCTGTGCGCCGCGTGTCTGACCGCGGACTTTGGGACCCACAAAACCAAAGCCACACCCCAGAAGCCCGCCCGCAGGACGGGGCTGTGTGGCGGGGTCACCCCGCACCCGCGCGTGGGATCCCGAGCGGCCCCAACACACACCACCGAGCCACGGAGAGAAAAGAGTCGGTGGCCGACGGGAGCCGTGGGGTAAGAGCCCCTCCGCCCGGCCGGCCATCCGGGACGGACACGCGCCCGCGGACTCAGTACTCGAGTGTGCAAGTCGCGACAAAAACGGTGGAATAAAGAAAGGTCCCGCCAGTCCCCCACTGCTGGCCCCCAGCTGAGCTCAGCAAGACCACTCGGAGCCGCGGGGAGAGGACCCCGGGCTCCACCCGCCCGCAGCTGACCCCCGGGCGCGCAGACCCCCTCAGCAGTGCACTGCATCGACCTGCCTGTCCTGCTCCCCGCTCTGTCTCTGGGGATCCTCAGGGCGCCCCTGCACCTCTGGCCTGTACCCCAGCTCTGTGTGCATACATATATAAATCGGGGGAAAAAACGGCCCCTTAAGGGTATCGCCCTCCAACACCATGAAACACGGGCCTCCCGACGCCTCAGGCCTGGGGGGGCGGCGCCCCATCAGTACTGGCTCCTGAGCGGGGTGAACACCCTCAGGCCCACGTGTCAGGGGCCATCAAAACAAAGCTGCATGAGCCCCCACAGCTGACGTCTCGCGGCCGTGTTGGGGCGCTGGCCAGGGTCAGCGGGGGACAGACCCATCCTGCACGGGAAGCTCCAAGTCCCGAGCCTCGTCTCATCCCGGGGTGCGGGGCTGAGGGGCCGGCTCACCCCCACGGCGCCCAGACCCGTCCCTTCCAGGAAAAGGCGGCCGAGCCCAAGAGCTGCGGCTTTCGCAATCCTCCGCGCCCAGCACTCAGGGAAGCAAGTATCTGGAGCGTTGCCATGGAACCTTCACCCCCGCACTGCACCCCCACTGCACCCCCCGCACCCCAGAGGCTCGGGGAACCAGAATGTCCACATTCCCCACTGACCCCCCAGGCAGACCCCGGCCCAGCTTGCAGACTCCCATGACTGGTCAGCGGGGCTGGAACCGAGCGCCGGACTCAGCAGGCCTGTGACGGCCCAAGAACTGGGGCTGCAGGACAGCGGGCGTCTCGGGGTGCGCCCCGGTGCGCGGGGGCAGCGGCCGTCGCCGAGCCCCCATCCCTGCGAGGCGCGGCCTGTGACCCAGCCCGCAGGCCAGAGCGGGTTACAGCAAACGCGAGCCCGGGCGCAAGCTCCTGACTCAGCGCG